TTAACATCTAAACACTCTTGTTGCTGTGAAGATAAATGATGGAACGTCCAAGACCCCATGCTCCCTATTCCTGGGGAGTGCCCAGGGGAAGGATGGCTTGCAGGATACTGTGTACTTTCAGAGATGAAGCTCTCCCCTCCCTGATACCCCGGTCATGGAATCCCTACAAACTTTAGAACAGCTTGTACATAAATCAGTTCATACAGAACTCGACTTGTAGACGCAGGCAGAGCCACAGGCTCATGCTGTGTTGCCAGTTATTGTCACTTGATAGTGAGTCGCACAGTATTTGGTGGGTTTTTTTCTTAGAGCCCCAGCTTCTGGAGTCACGTGAATATGGGAGAATCTCAGGTTTCACTGAGGAAAATAAGTTTCCAGTCCTCATGGTTGCAAGGAAAAGCTTGAAAAGGTGACCCCTGACAGCTCAGAGGATAGAAGGGAAAGAAAAAGAACACGTTTGTTATTTTTTAAAATCTCATGGTTTGGGGGTCGTGACTCAGGGTACTTCAGCCCTTGGGTTGGCAATGCGGCACATGCTAGTGACTAGCAGAGTTCCAGGTGTGGACAGGGTGTGCCCTGGTCCAGGCATTCCTGTTCCGCAGAGAGGGCCGGCTTATTTGGGAGTCCCAGGGGTGTGTGTCTGTCTCTCTCTCTCTCTCGCAGAATGTTTCTGTCCAAATCTGAGTGACTCCCACGCAGACTGAGAGGAGTGAAGGACTCGCTGTGCTCCTTGCAGTCGGGTCTATGGAGAATGCTGGCCATTTTTCCTTTCTTAAGCACATGAGACGCTTCAACATGGCGCTAATGGTCCATGGGCCCTTTGTTCCGAATGGTCTGATTTTCGGGTGTTGAGCTCTTGTATTGAGCTCAGTGGCAGCTGCCTGGCACCAGGCCGCCAGGCGCGATGCCATAGTCACAGAGTGACTCCAGGCAGCAGGCTGGGATAAATAGGAGATCTGTTTGCCTGCTCTGCCTACCTCCACAGACCATTCCGCCAATGCTGATTCTGTTGGTGTCCGGGGAACGTGCCCCCTGACCAGGCGTTTGGAGTAGCTCAGGAAAACATTCCCACCAGCCCAGCGAGTTTGCTCTGGGTTTTACCTGGCACCCAGAGACTGGGGAGTTGAGTCAGGGCTGGTGAGTGCTCATGAAGCTCAGAGAGAGCCGGCAGTGGTTTTTGTATTTACCTTGCTGGGGTGCCTCTGGGCTTCCATTGAAGCTACTCCGCTCGCTTGGGACCAGGATCTAGTCGGCTGGAGATGTGCACATCCCAGCTCTCCTCGCCAGTTCCCTGGCTTGTTCCATGTATGGAGAGCACCAGCAGCCTGGTCAGCTAGCAGAGCGGCCGGCCCTTGTCCGAGCCAAGCTTCCCCGTTGGCGTCCAATGGCTTGAGGTGGAGCCATATTTGTATTTTCTGGCCCAGCACGTGGGTTATGTCCATTTGCCCTCACAGCACTCCCACCCGGCTTTGCTCCCTGTCCACCTCACCGCTAGCACTCTGCACTCCTGTGGCTGGTGTTCTGGCTTGCTCCCCCACCCTGGGGAGCCAGCCCCTTTGCATGGCGGGCAGGGAGGGTTCTTATCACCTCATGGAGGCCATTTTCAGGCCTGGTGGCAGGGAGGCCGAGTGGAAATAGGTGTCAGGGCTTTATTTGTATTCATTGTGTGGTGGGGGATAATTCCCCCCCCCCTTTGGTCTCCCTGGGTTTTTCTTCACTCTCCATTGTGTGGGCTCAGCGGGTTCCTCATCCATTTCCCCCACAGCAGGCCATAATTTGATTCTCATCAAACATGCAGAACTGATGTTGCGGAAGGTCCCTCCAGAGGTTTGAACATCCTACTGCTGCTGTCTGCGCTCCTTCTCTCGCACTGCGCAGCGCTCCGGCTTTGGAAGCCTTTGTTTCCGGAGGAGTAACACGGCGTTCTGGAAATGTTACCGCAATTAAATATGCACAAAAAAATAGTGGGGGGAGGAATGAGGACAGTCAGGGTTGTGGAGCAGCAGTTGGCAAGATGCAGCGGCTGCTCGTTGCCATGGAAACTGCCTCCCCCCTTGCTTAAAATTCCAGTACAGCCAATATTCTGTGCTTACTGGTTTGCTGAGAGATGAAACATTAATGATCTATTTGCATTTTATTGTAATTGCACCTGTGGGGCTTTTCTTTCTTTTTTTCTTTTTTGGACCTTTGTATTAATCCCTTGATACTTCAGATTGGCAGCTCAGAGCTACGGCTGTTCTGCAATTATGTGCGTGCTGCGGCATTGACTTTGCCATGTCATAACACAGAGACAAAACAACACATGCAGATTTTGGCTAATGAGCATCTAGCCCCTCCTTGTAAACACGGAGATAGAAATATCGCTTTTCTCTCCCTTCCCCTCCCCTTCCCTTCCAGGTTTTGCAAACCAGAGTGTGCAAACAACTCATTGATTTATCATTTTGATTACTTGTCAGGTCTCCTTTTGGCTCCAGGGCCGGACATTGAGTTACTGGACCTTAAAGACATTTTTGCATGTGGCTTTCCAGTCTCTGTGTTTATTTAGGCATTCTGTTAAGTTAGATGAATGTTAATTGTTTATTGAAGTCACTATTTTTCTCTCTGTTAAGAATCCCTGACACAGAACTTGCTCTTACTGCAATTAGAGTAGGATAAATGAATATCTGGCTGATATAGAACTAGATAAATTCATGGAGGATAGGTCCATCAATGGCTATTAGCCAGAATGGGCAGGGATGGTGTCCCTAGCCTCTATTTGCCAGAAGCTGGGAATGAGTGACAGGGGATGGATCACTTGATGATTCCCTGTTCTGTTCATTCCCTCTGGGGCACTGGGCACTGGCCACTGTTGGAAGACAGGATACTGGGCTAGATGGACCTTTGGTCTGACCCAGTACGGCCGTTCTTATGCTGAGATGGAAATGTGCCGGCTGGAGTTGGGGCTGACCATCGCTCTGCCTTGTGACGTGGTTTGCTGCTGATATGCTACGTGCCTCCTCTGCGGGCGGTCCTTGGACGTGCCTGTGAGAGCTGCTGGGTGGAGGGGGTGGGGGGTATCGGGAAGGATCAGGGAGTGGGTTGTGAGCCTTTGTGCCAGGCCGGTTTCAGACTTCTGCCTCCCTCACTTCAGAAGATCTCTGCTTCCGTAGTGGGCATAAAAGATGCTCTTTCCTTTGCCTTAGTACAGAACTGTCCAGGCTACTTCCAAACGGTGGAAGCTGATTCTCAAGCCAGGCCCCATCCTAGGTGCTGGCGGTTCAATGGGTATCGGACCTGTTCCCAGGTCTGTGGCTAGGGGGGGCTGTGCTGATGGACGAGCCATCTTTCAGATGAGAGAGAAAACGGAGGTTCCACGCATCTGTGGTCATTGGCACTGCTCATTTCCACGGCCAAAATCGGACTCAGGAAATGACGTTCTACCGACATTCTCCAGGCTTGTTCAGTGGTGCTATGTGGCAGCACGGTGCTGCTAGCGAACAGCTGCCGTGTCCTGCTCCAGAGGTGGCTGCATTGCAGTGGTGGGCCCAATCTTTTTGTGCCCTTTGGGGGTGAAAGGCTCTATCTAACCGTTAGGAATTGTGAGCGCTGTTAGAGCAGGATGCAGTGTGCTTTCCAACGGGGAAAGCCAACTTTAGCCTCTTTCCAAAGCCATTTGCTTGCCCTCCTTTTCATGCTGCTGCTAAGGTCTTTCACAACACGAGCGTTTGCTCATTATAATTCACCATGAATATTAATACATACTAAAGTGGGGACCAGGTTAATAAGTGGGCTAATGCCTCCTTATTTGCCTGCTCACTAGCCTGAGGCATGGATAGAGAGGCCTTACTTTTGTGCTTCAGTGCCAGAATGTCTCCTTGTGGACTCTCTCACCATTCCAGCTGGCTTGGTTTATGTCGCTTGTTACCTGCTGTCCTCTGGAATCTTCCCCCTGGTGCTCAAGTATCAACTTAAGGTCTTATTTGTTTTCGCAAGCTTCTAAGTAAGTTCAGCTAATTATTGACTCGGCAGGATGGATTCCCTTTTAATTGCCACATTGCAGCAGGGCATGCTGAGACTCTGCGGCGCGGTCTGAGCTTGAGGTTGCAAGCTTGCCTCTCACCTGGCCCTGCCTTCTTTCACTCCCTCTCACGCCCCTCCCAGGCCCAGGATCTCTGGTCCCTTTCTGCACGTTAATTGGGCCTGTGTAGGATACTGCAGAGATGTACTAGTTTGCCCGTAGTAAAATGGAGCATGATGAGACTCAGAAGTGAGGCCAGTGCCAGAGCTGAGAGTGCAGCCTTAAATTCTGTCTGTCCAGTGCATTTCGGCAACCAGCCGGCACCACTTGTTGAGCTTTTCTATTGGGAGCACGTTCAGTCAGGTGAGGGGTATATTTTAAGTTAACCTGAAGATTGTGACCAACAAATAAGTTCTAAAATGGGCGTCTAACACCATTCCTATGGAATGTCACGGTCCAGGTATTGGGGCGCCCCGATCCTAGGTTTGCATTCTCGGGCAGACTCATTCACATGCAGAATGGTATCTGCACATCCAGCTTTCCGTTTGTATGCGCCTCTGATATGAACATACGCTGCAGCTCTCTCCTTTTCTAGCCTGATTTTAGATACCTGTTTAAAACTGCAGCCCCCGAGCTAAGGGAGGAGTCGGACCCTTGGTTTGTCTGGGCTGCCCAGATGCTGTATTGACCACAGCGGGCTCTCATCCTGTGCTAGCAGTTGTGCAGCTCCTGAGGTGCAGCAAGGCAAGTGAAGGATGAATTTGTCCCCTGAATTCAGCTTTGACCTTGTTCCTTTCTGTAACTCGATGCAACTTCCTTGGGAGTTCCCTTATTTTATGGTCTCGTCACTGAAAGATTCACAGGTGCATGCTTCACTGCAGAGCAGGCATCCGCTCACCCCATCCCTGGGATGCTGCTTACTGCCTTGTGATGCAATATGTTTAGTTTGATCAAACACAGAGCAATAACCAGACTTTCCCCTCTCTTCTGCTTGTGTCTCCAGAAAATAGGTTTTTTATTACTTTTTATGGAGGTTTGTACATATCGGACGTGCAGAAGGAAGATGCCTTGTCCACCTACAGGTGTATCACCAAGCACAAGTACAGTGGAGAGACACGCCAGAGCAATGGGGCTAGGCTCTCCGTGTCAGGTAAGTCTCTGGATCTGAACCTGCAGCCAGCAAAACTCAGCCACGAATCTGTGTGTGCGAGTCTGAGTCTTTAATCATCTTATCTGGCCCGTCACCATGATATCAGAACACTCCCAAAGTGGTAAAGCCCAGGAGGTTGTATTAGGACTGGGAAGCCCAGCACGAGAGCCTTGAAAGGGGCTAGGTTTTCAGACAGTGCTGAGAGCCCACCCTTTCTGGTGTCTTGAGTTGAGAATGGCCATGTTGGGTCAAACCAATGGTCCGTCTAGCCCAGCATCCTATCCTTCAACAGTGGTCAATCCCAGGGGCGTCAGAGGGAATGAACAGAACAGGGAATCATCAAGTGATCCATCCCCTGTTGCAGGAGCAGCGCCAGGGTTTTTGCCGCCCTAGGGGGCAGCGCTCCTCCTCTGAGCATTCGGCGGCGGGGGTCCTTCCGCTCCGCGTCTTCGGGACACTTCGGCAGCGGGTCCCGGAGCGAGTGAAGGATCCGCCGCCGAATTTCCGCCAAAGACCCGGAGTGGAAGGACCCCCTGCTGCTGAATTTCCGCTGAATTTCCGCTGAGGACGGCAAAATGCCGCCCCCCAAATCCTGCCGCCCTAGGCGACCGCCTAGGGTTGCCTAGTGGAAGTGTCGGCCCTGCCCTGTCGTCCTGTCCCAGCTTCTGGCAGTCAGATTCTAGAGACACCCAGAGCATGGAGTTAAATCCCTGACTCTCTTGGCTAATAGCCATGATGAACCTATCCTCCATGAACTTATCTAATTCTTTTTTTAAAATCTAGTTATAATTTTGGCCTTCACAGCATCCCCTGGCAATGAGTTCCGCAGGTTGACTCTGCATTGTGTTGAGTTGAGCACCCAGAGTCACTAGGCACTTTGGAAAATCTTGGCCTCAGTTCTCTCTCTGTGTTTCCTCCAGTCAGCAGACAACGGCCTTTATATTACCTGGGTGGGGGTTGTTTGTTTGCTTTGTTTTCTGTGCATGTGTGGAGATGGGAGCAGCACAGAGAGAATGAGGATGAGTGAAAGCCTGGATGTGTGTGGGGGGGCAGCGGCGGAGATGGGAACATTTTATCCTCCTGTTCATCCCCAGGAGCGTTCGCTCTTGGCCAGACGAAGCCAGCACAAGGGGCTTGGCTCCTGTCCTGTTTGAATGCTCCCTGTGTGACTCTGCAGACAGGATCCTGTAGCAGGGTGCTGCCGGGCCCGCTTGGCTCCTGCCCCTGCTGTGCTGACAATGTCATTCAAAGACCGACCCTGGGGTTCAGAAACCACTGGTGTCATTTGTTTACGGGTTGTGCTCCCACCAACCTTTTCACCTTACACAGCTTGGGTTCTAGTGTCTGCTATTCCTCTGCTTCCGCTCCCCCACCTGGCTTCCTTCCTCACAGCCTTTTATATACCCCGGGCTAATGGGGCGGGCAGCTGGCTCCCAGTCACCAATTAGGTGCAGGTTTTCTCTAGCAGGCTCCAATTAACTTCCCTTAATGGGGGCTGGCGTGACAGAGGGCTGAGTCAGCAGCTCTTGCCCAGCCCCCTGTCCCAGAGCCTGACATGGGAACCACTGGGATCAGTATGGGGCAGAGCTAAAACCCAGGCACTGGGCCCTGGCCAAGCTGGCAGGACCCGCGCTGGGCTCCTGTCTGCTGGCAGGATCCGCGCTGGGCTCCTGTCTGCTGGCAGGA